CTCTTTGTTGTCTGCAATCAAAATAAACCAGTATGATGTGATGAACACAACTTCTGGCTCGTACCATGTGTTGTTTTAGCCTAAGGCACTCAGTAACTTCCAAACTAGGAGTTACAAATGAAACCCTTTCTGCTAGGTGACTTGTAAAACATTACCACTGGTTTTTGTTATGTGCCTTTTATTACTTCTTTCAAAATCAGTATTTCCGGACACACAGTCACAAAATCTGACAGTGGTTTTTATAGATACAACTTGTTTCTCTACTTGTTATCCTTAAACACTGCTGAAAAATTATTCAATAAATATTTGCATCATTACTAATAAGTTGAGTGGATAGGAAACTCCTGATTCTGAAATGCTCTGATTATAATCCTTACTGATTGCTAATTGGAGGTATAACCAGTCCTGCTTGAGAAGGAGATATTCACATTTTCTCATTTGACTGAGGGTGTAAGTTGCTAATACAGAAGAGGTTAAAGCACAGAAGATTTTGTTTGAGGATCATTTACCAAAAATTTAAAACTTAATCAGATGCATTAATTTCAAGTTATACAAAAAGCCTTTGAGGCAACATCTCTTGGAGCTCAAATACTTGTGTCTCGTTAAATACACAGCAATAAGAGAGAAAATTCTTCTCATAAAGGTTAGGCAGATAGGTCAATATTGAACAGCACAGCTTCTTTAGAAGTTTTTTAAAAATGGAAATTTTAGAAAGTATTTATTTAATGTTATATATTATTTATAGAGGTAAGCCCAAATCAAAGTACATAAAAATGAAGTAAAGAGACCATGTGTAGGAATTTACCTCAGGTAGCAATGTAGAGATGGACATATAATTATTCGGCTGTCCCAGTTCTCTGTAGATCATTCCCTTTCACATACAAGTCAGGTATCTGAGCCATGGAAGCTTAAGCAGGGAACAAGTATCTACTCTCTTACTGATAAGCTTAAAGTCACGTAGCACCTGGCTAGATACAACTATGCCATCAAAAACCATCTTCCTGCAGGCTGGATGCAGTAGCTCATACCCGTAATCCCAACACTTATAGGAGGCCAAGATGGGAGGATCTCTTGAGTCCAGGAATTTGAGGCCAAAGTGAGGTATGATCTCCCCACTGCATTCCAGCCTTGGCAACAAAGTGAGGTGCTGTGTCTTTAAAAAAAAAAAAACTGAAAAAACAAATAATGTTCCCAGACAGTCCTTTCCATGCATTAAAAAATATGAAGTTGGCCAGGCTTGGTGGCTCACGTGTGTAATCCCAGCACTTTGGGAGGCCAAGGTGGGCTGATTATAAGGTCAAGATATCATCTTGGCCAACATGGTAAAACCCTGTCTCTACTAAAACACAAAAGTTACCTGGGCGTGGTGGCATATGCCTGTAGTCCCAGCTACTCAGAAGGCTGAGGCAGGAGAATCACTTGAACCCGGAGGCAGAGGTTGCAGTGAGCTAAGATCACATCACTGCACTCCAGCCTGGTGACAGAGTGAGACTCAGTCCAAAAAAAAAAAAAAGAAGTTAAAGTGGCCTCAATTGTTTTGGTTGAGCAGAATGAATAGGGAGAAACTAAGTTACTCTTCAGATACTAATGCTGGCAGGAAGAAGAAATCATTAGAATGGTAGATGCCAAACATTAAATTAAATTTGAGTTTTCAAAAGATGGTACTGACAACTGTGAGGCAATTAGAAAGCACTTGGTAAAGTAATTGATGCTGAAATAGAAATCCTAATTTACCTCTGGGTTTCCTGGTTAACAGATAAACTCAATTAAATCTTAGTTATTCTGAACAGATATTTACTGAGCACTTACTATATGTGCTAGGCACTAATTAAAAATAAAATAAAGCTTGAAAATTTTCAGAAATTAACAGATAACTAAAGTGACCAGATGTCCTGACTTGCCAGCCATGGTCTCACTTTGCCCTCTTGTCCTGGCTTGTCCTAGTTTGGATGACACGTTAGATAGTCTCTTCTTGGTTTAATGTGGCCAAACCCATGCCCACCAATATTTAAAGATGTTACTAATTCTCAGTCTCTAGTTTCCTTGATTATTCCCAGATTGTGATTCTTGTTCAATATTTGTAAAGTATTTCAAGTTATTAAAGAACTTATTCTGTTCTCAACTGATTGAACTATTTCTACAAATTGAAATAATGTGTTTCTGGCATTATTCTGGGAAAAACAAAGAAAAGTAGGAATCCATTTCAATCTGGTAGGAGAGATTAGGGTGTTTTCTTTTTAGAGCCACATGATGATACAACTATGCACAGCAAACTTGGGGAGTGCTAGTCAAATAGGAGTGTTCGTGATTTTCTCAGGGAAAATATTGCATATCTGAATTATTTTCTATACTTGAGTAGTATGTTGGGACAAACTGGTGGTCAGGAGGGAACATCATATATTTACATGTAAATAGTTCACCTTTAGACATAAATGGTTGACATGAATTTCAGAGTGTCAAAACTGTATTTCAGATTGTATTCCTTTCTCATTTTAAAAGTATAGCACTTTTTTCCTGAATGTTTTGTGATATTTTAAAATGTAGAATATTAGTTTTCAGCTTCTGTTTCTTTTTTTGTGTGATAGGGTCTCACTCTGGTGCCCAGGCTGGAGTGCAGTGGCATGATCTTGGCTCACTGCAACCTCTGCCTGTCAAGCTCAAGCAATCCTCTCACTTCAGCCTTCCAAGTAGCTGAGACTACAGGCACATGCCCCCACACCCAGCTAATTTTTTCTTTCTTTTTCTGTGTGTGTGTGTGTGTGTGTGTGTGTGTGTGTGTGTGTGTGTGTGGAGATGGAGTTTCACCATGTTGCCCCGGCTGGTTTCAAGCTCCTGTACTCAAGTGATTCAGCCACCTCAGCCTCCCAAAGTGCTGAGATTACAGGCATGAGCCACCACACCTGCCTAGTTTCTATTTCTTAAATTCCCATGATCTCAACTAATATTTGTCAGTAAGAGTGTCGCCCAATAACTCAGACATATACCTCATTAGTGTTCTAGTTCCCCCATCCTATATGTCGTAATGTGTTTCATAAAGTTCTTCAATAAAAGCAAAGGAAGAGCAAAGAATTAGAAAAGATCTGCTTTATGCATGCAGCTGTCACAGATCACATCCTGCTTCCCACAAAGCCGAAAGAGGGCATGAGTGTTATAAGCTACCTGTTGATCCCTAGATTCTAACTCACATTTAATTAGTTGATTTTTCTGTTTTGTGAAAATGGTAACATACATGTATTTGTCTCCACAAAGAAGAAGCACAGCAGTGTGTCTCGGGCCTCGTACGATGCTAATGTCCACTAGTGGTCTGTAAGGATCTGGTTGGTTTAATGATTCCTTGGCATAGTATTTGGAGGATAAAGATCCAGTTGGATTCTTTGGGAAGAACAGTTTTAGGCTCCTGATGCTCATACTACCATGGTATGGGTTCTCACAGAGGAAGTTTGGGCTATTTTTCTTTAAGACAAGCAAATGGAGATACAGTTTTGTTTTTTTTTTCACAGATTAAAATTAGTGTCTTCATGATAGCCTCCTCTGAAAATAAGATTCTTGTTGAAGCTTTTGTGTATATGTACCCTCAGAGGTACACTAAAAATTTATGTTTCATTCATGTATAGATGGATTGTCACCTAAAGAGATGATGAAGCTTCATAAATGGCCCCATGATTGTTTATGGGGATCAGAGAAAGGATTCAACTGTCTCATGTATGCATTTGGTTTTGGTATCTCATTAAAAAGATTAATGGAGATTGTCCTTTTGGTTTCTTATTGGGATGATTTTAAAAGGCTATATGTTGTTACAGAATAAGCACCAAATAAGTATTTTCATCCTTGATGTCACACATGGAGGCATCTCATGATAATGGAAAGAGCCCTAGGCTTTCAAGTCAGACTTACTAGAGTCTTGCTGGGCAAGCTTGCTAAGTTGCTTAAGCTCTTTGAGTCTGGCTTGAGGATGATGCTTCTTTCCTATAGGGTTCTTGTGAGGAACTGGGAGTAAGAACCAGAAGCCCATCTCCAAAATATGGTAGATTCTTAATAATCATTGGTGTCCTTCCTCTTAAGCTACATGTTTATCCCTTTCTCCCTGTTAGAATTATCTACACTACTTTCCAAGCACATTAAAATCATTTTGTGTAACTGTAATTCAGTACTTTTAAAAATGAGAATCTCTAATAAAGATAGTAGTAAAATAATCCTACAATAAATCTCATTCTTTACAATCAGTGAGTCCTGAAAAAAAAAAAAAAAACAGAGTGGTAGGAAACTAGCCTTCTTATTATGATTATTACTGCACCCTTCCATGAAGTAACTTCTGCCACCAGAACGTAAAGCACACATATAACTGCTCTTGTGAATGTTTGCTTTCCTATGGCCAAAACATAGATTAGATTAAGATCGGTGAACAGATGTTAATTGGTTTTATTTTGCATTGTAGTTGGTTAGAATTGTATTTGCGATTAACTTACAAAATTTGTTGACTATATTCTCACTGATTTTTAGAGTGATGGGAAGTATTAAATGTATTCCTTGAATATCTGGCTAAATAGGCAATTAGTAGGTCACTGTGAAGAAGCTTCATTAAAAAGTCATAAAAATTTTATGTGGCATGTGTCTGTACCACACGTTCTCTTCCCTGTATAGGCACTGGGTGGTACAGCCCTGTGGTTCCAGATTTAACACTTAGCGGGGCATTTGTACCCTGGCATGTATTGGAAGCCAGCGGACAGCCTCTCTGCTGAGCTGACCATTGATTACTTAGGCTTGTATTTATGTCTGTGTTATCATTGGGAAAATCTGTAGTCTTCTTTGGAAGGAATAAGTTCAACAGTCTAAACACTCGTAGGGAATTGATGAGAAATAATATTTAATACGTGCTGAAAATCTTTGAGTTCTTTATTCATGTAATGAGATTAGATATGGGTTATTTGGATTATTAACCAGAAGCTTAAATCAAGCCCTTGCTGTTATGATCAAGTGTTTACTTTGGCTTTGTTTTCCAGGGCCAGCCAGGGGACCAGGCTCCTCTCTTTGCTGCACAAGCACGGCCCTCCCCTCAGCTCCCTCAGTATCCAGGGCTGCAGCAAGCACAGGTACCCACATTTGCTTTGTAGGTACTGACAGGATTTTCAACGCTCTTTATTGGAAGAGGGAAATTGAGTAAATAGAATATATCAACTTCCTCTGGGGTCTAGAACTTGGTTATTTCTTCTACTTACAGGTTATAATTGACATTTCAAAGCATTATCAGGAGTGTAGAACAAGTTTTAGGATTGATTAAGGAGCATAAAACATTCTAGAAAATCCTTTAAAAATATAAATTTAAACCTTTTATTAGCGATGATTGTAGATATTGAAATACTTAATCCCAGAGTTACTTCTTTTATGTTATGATGTATGATGATGTAATTCAGTTTTGAAGTTGTCATATTTGGGCTGAGCTCAGTGGCTCATGCCTATAATCTGCACTTTGGGAGGCCGAGGTGAGAGGATTGCTTGAGCCTAGGAATTTGAAACCAGCCTGGGCAACATAGTGAGACCCAATCTCTACAAAAGAAAACAAAAATTAAAAAATTATCCAGGTGTAGTAGCATGCACCTCTAGTCCCAGCTGCATGGGAGGCTGAAGTGGAGGACTGCTTGAGCCTGGGAGGTTAAGTTGCAGTAAGCTGTGATCAGACCACTGCACTCTAGCCTTGGGCAACAGAGCAAAACCCCATCTCAAAAAATAAACAAAAAGTCATATTCAAAGATAGCATCAATGAGGAATCATGGTAGAATAAGAAAATAATGGGCCTTGGAATCAGACTTTGACACAGTTTGCAACTTACTAGCTGTGTGACACTGTTTAAGTTACCTACTCTGAGCTTTGGTTTCCTTCTCTGTAAAATAGAGAGATGAAGGGTGTGAAGGATTTAAGACAACCTAGGAACTAACATAGTGGCTGACACACAATATAAGGCAAACCTTGAGCTGCTTTTACTAATAATTTTGTTATTTCTGTATTTGTATACTCTCACCCTGTCACTCTAGGAATCAGGAATGCAGGGGTATTGACAAGATTTTTAGTTGGTTTGGCAATTCATTCTCTGTCCACAGCTGAAAGAGAAGCCCAGATTGGCCTACACAGGCACTGAGCCCTTTAGCCTGGATCCATTCATGCTGCCTGCTGGAAATTCATTATCCATTTCTCTGTCTTCCAAGTCAGAGACATTAAACTACCTGAAAATATGATGCTTTGAGGATTTGAAGAGCAATGTTGTTCTATTTTAATTAGCGTTGAGTTCTATAAATTGTACCCAGTGATCCAACAGAGCCTCAGGTTTCGCTTTTTGATAAGGTGACAATTTTCAAAGAACTAGGTACTTGTATATTAATATTGATTAGGAAAGTTAAGTGTTCACATTACTGGTAGAGTGCTGAACTAGGTCTCATTAGTACTAGAAGATAATGAACAGTTACCAGCTGTGTCCTTCCTGGCTAAGGTATTAATAGTTTTTTGGCACAGTTTTGGAACTGGTTAGTTACTACACACACACAATCAGACTGTGACTACCTGAAGAGGTGTAATTATATGTTGGGAAAGTGTATTTCATTATTTCAATTTACAGTGAGTATGAATAGCTTTCCTGACTAATTTTGGAGATGATATTAATGATACTTGGGATCTGTTGAACATTGATGTCATTTGTGCACTGAATGTATGGATGCTTGCCTGATTATTCCTTTATAGAAACATGCTCTTTTCTCAAAATAAGCAACTGATCTTAAAAGCCAGTTTAACTAAATGAGGATTCTTTTTTTTTTTTTAAGTTGACATTTCTGGTGAATCATTACATGGCCAGATCATTCTGTGGCTTTTCTGGCCAGATTCCCTGCATCCAGGGTAGTCCTCAAGTTCTGAGTTATGAGAACCTTTGAAAACAGTGAATTTCAGGGCAGTCTTCATGGGTTTGTTTTTGCCCCGTATTTTGTAGTGATGGGAAAGTTGGGTATTAATTGAAACACTGACTTCTGTCCTTGTGCCTGCATGCAGACCATGCCCCAGGGCTATACAATGTACGGGACTCAGATGCCTTTGCAGCAGACATCACAGCAGCAGGCTGGCAGTGTGGTCCTGTCTCCCAGCTATAACTCCAGAGCCTATTCGGCCGCACATTCCAACCCTGTGCTAATGGAAAGACTCCGACAGATTCAGCAGCAGCCGAGTGGCTATGTTCAGCAGCAGGCCTCGCCGTACCTGCAGCCCCTGACTGGCTCTCAGAGGTGATACATGTAGAAATGATGACGGCAATAGTGAACAGTCACATTTTTGGGTTTCTTATGCTTATAGAGCATGGTACTTTGTCACTGTTTTTATGAGCTTGCATATTTGCAAATAATTTGCATTCTGTGGTCTTATTTTTAATAGTATCCAGATAGAGGTTCAAAATAAAGAATGCTCCATCTCATTTATTTCATTAAAGATCTTTACGGTTTTGACTCGTATCTTCCATGATATGAGTATATAACAGTATATGATACTACTTCCATGATATGAGTATATAACAGTAAATGATACTACTGTGTTTGCTTCAGTGTTTTTTTTTTCTCTTCTCTTTTAAAAATTCTCTGAACATATCTAACAGAGAAAACTCTTGATTATTGTTAGAAATGCTAGAATTTGTTGATTGGAGCAGTAAAATTTATGATTGCAATACTAATTGTGCATGTTTCATATGAGAGTTTTGTTATAACTTAGTTTCTACCTTTTCCACCTCAGAGATGTTTGGCAAAATAGGATTATGATAGACTTTTTTTCTGTTCTTGTTTAATTAGATTTCTTAGAGCATGTAACTGCACTGTCTCTTAAAGTAGCTGCCAGCCACCTTTGGCTATTTAAATTTAGACTATTTAAAATTAAATTAAAAATATAGTTCCTCAGTCACACTAGTCACATTTCAAGTGTTCAGTAGTGGCCGAGCGTGGCAAGCAGGGCTAGCTTCAATGGTGTGTGACGTGTGCTGTGTTTAGAAGGGTCTGTGTTTACAAATGCTTCATGCTTAGATTAATGCTCTGCAGTTTCTCTGTGGAAATTCTTATTAAATTTTGATCAGGGGGTCTTGTGTTTTTGCTATGCACTGAGACCCAAAAGTTGTGTACTTCGTCCCCATGGCTAGTAGCTATCTTACTGGACAGTGCAGAGAGAAAACGTTGCAATCATCCCAGAAAGTTCTGTTGGATAGTATTGTCTTAGAAGAAGTAAGCATCGTGCCAAACGTGGCAATCTAGTGGATGGCGGCACAGCTCCCATCTATGGCCATCAATGGCTACGTGATGATGCTAAGTAATCACTCTTTGGAAAGTTGGCAAGGTTGGTGGTAACACATTTGAGAACACATTATTATTTTGGATAATCATTTGGAAAATGTGCATTGTATGTACTATTTTTATAATAAATAGCCACATGGCATGGCCCACAAACTTGAACTTCAAAGCCCAAAAGTTCTAGATTCAAATCCCACCTATGCCATTTGCTTTCTAAGTAACCTTAGTAAGTTACCTCTAGCTCTGTTTTTTCATTTTTGAAGTAGGAATAACAAAACTGCTGACCTTAAAGGGCTCTCTGGTGAGGAACAAATTAAGTAACACATTTCAGACCTTTAATACAGTGCCTGCTTCAAAGTAAATGCTCAATTACTATTTCTCATTATTGAAAACTATTAAATGTTTAAAAATTAATTCATTCCATGACTGTAATTTTACCTTAAGTCATGTGCTTGCTGTCCTGTTTCATGTGGTCACATCTATTATTTTAACCACTGGGCTTTAGTCTGTTTTAATTGTGCAGGATTATCGAGCACTGATTGTTTCTTTGGCAGTGTATGTAATCTGCTGGTAGGACTGATTAAAAGTTTGACATTATGCTTGGACCTGAACCAAGTTGCATTATTCTTTGCCAGACTGAACCATCAGGCTCTGCAGCAGAACCCTCTGGTGGGCGGGGGAATTGATGCTGTCCTGACTTCTGCACATCCAAACCTTCCCTCCGTGCCCCTGCCTCAGGATCCCATGAGACCCAGACAGCCGCAAGTTCGACAGCAGCAGAGAATCCTGCAGGTACCGGGGGCAGGGAGATGAGGGCAATGCTGTCACACTTCAGACAGTGCAAATACGCAACAGTCATAAAAAATGAAAAACACTTCAGACTTCAATTGCCAAATTCCAAGGAGCCCTGTCTGTTTGACACTAGGAGCTACATTGCTACAATGTAGTTCCAACTTGTCTGGAATTTCTTTTTCTCTGTGTGTCTACCAGGTTATTGAAAGAAGAATGAGTTGTGTAGAACATTCTTCCCATTTCACAAAGGTTTGGGAGGGCAGATGGGTGACTTTAATAGAGGTAGCTTCAGCTTAACTGTTTTAAGTAGGAGTCATGCAAATTTTTAAAAAGTTTCATAAATGTGAAAACAAATTGAGCCATCCAGAGCTTTCATCAGATTCCTAGAGCATTCTACAGTCTAAAAACATTTCTGTAACACCTCTGGTCTCATAAGGCTGTTAAATGAAATGAACATAGACTATTTCAAAGGGATATTACATCTTGTCTCCATTAGAATCCAGACAACTGTCATTCACTTATTTGATGTACATTTTAAGTCACTTAGATAAAGGGTTCTTCCCCTTGATACAATTTTTTCAGAGACGAAGGCTCCCTCTGTCACCCAGGCTGGAGTGCAGTGGTGCGATCTTGGTTCACTGCAGCCTCCACCTCCCGGGTTCAAGTGATTCTTCTGCCTCAGCCTCCTGAGTAGCTGTGATTACAGGCACCTGCCACCAGGCCTGGCTAATTTTTTTGTACTTTTAGTAGAAACAGGGTTTTGCCATGTTGGCCAGGCTGCTGTCAAACTCCTGACCTCCAGTGATCCATCCTTCTTGGCCTCTTAAAATACTGGAATTACAGGCATGAGCCACCTTGCCCAGCCTCCTTGATACATTCTTGTTTCTCACTTGCTTATTAAAAAAATACAGGCCATTATGTTTACTTGTGTCATTTGTCTTTCTTTCTTTCTTTCTTTCTTTACTTATTGAGACGGAGTTTTGCTCTTGTTACCCAGGCTGGAGTGCAATGGCGCGATCTTGGCTCACCGCAACCTCTGCCTCCTGGGCTCAGGCAATTCTCCTGCCTCAGCCTCCTAAGTAGCTGGGATTACAGGCACGCGCCACCACGCCCAGCTAGTTTTTTGTATTTTTAGTAGAGACGGGGTTTCACCATGTTGACCAGGGTGGTCTCGATCTCTTGACCTCGTGATCCACCCGCCTCGGCCTCCCAAAGTGCTGGGATTACAGGCTTGAGCCACCGCGCCCGGCCATTTGTCTTTATTTAACAAGCTTGTCCTATGTTATTGAATTGGAGATTTCCTAAGGAGACTGTACAGTGGACTCTAATCTAATCAAGTCCAACTTGAGATGCACTCTTATGTACTGCTAAGAACAGAACACCAAAAATCAGGAGTCTAATAGGGCTGGAGTGCCCAGGGGCTGTTCTCTGTGTGAGGTCAGTGAGAAGTAAACCTGCCATGCAGAAAGGGACAGGAAGGAGCATGGATATCTCACCCTTGACACCGGATAGAAGGGAGAAACATTTGAACTGAACATTTGAACTGCAAGCTCGGGTAGGTTTGAGTCTGATTTCATTGTGAGACACAAAATACTGATTGTTAGTGCCCAGATGACAGGCAAAAGCCAACATACCCCCTGGAACTGGGCTTTCCAATTGTAAGATGCCATTAGTAATAAGATGTCATTAGTTGCATCCCAATTTGTGGCCTGTTAAAATGCTTTTTTAAAAAAGTTATATCACAAAATTTAAAACATATGGTGACTGATTAGGAGAGTCTGGCCTACAGATAGCAATCCCAATCATTGTATAGATCAGGCGTCCCCAAACTACGGCCCGCAGGCGGCATGCGGCCCCCTGAGGCCATTTATCCTGCCCCCCGCCACACTTCAGGAATGGGCACCTCTTTCATTGGTGGTCAGTGAGAGGAGCACAGTATGTGGCGGCCCTCCAATTGTCTGAGGGACAGTGAACTGGCCCCCTGTGTAAAAAGTTTGGGGACGCCTGGTATAGATGTTGTCTCCAATGGTAAAAGCCCTCTACTCCTGTTCTGTTATGGAAATACGTGCCTCTTAAATATATAGAAGGTGTTAAGTAAGAATATTCAAGTAAAGTACTTGTTTGATAATTTCATGATTAATGTTATGACTAATATTATCATTAATATAACTACTATTAGTACTCATTTTCTTAAATTATTTTTTCTAAGTTCTGAGGCTGTGTTTCAGAATATTTTAAGATTGATAATTTGTATTTTGCTCTATTTTAGAATTTCTCATTTCCAAATCACTGAGGAAAGTTATACCACATTATTTGTTTACTTACCAGTTTTAAATCTTATGTTGGTGTTTTTCAAGGCTGCAAATATGGAAAGGCTTTTTTTATTGGACCATATGTACTTTTTACCCTAATTAGCATAATATGTCCTGGTAATTTTTTCATCGCCAACACATTATTCCCTGGAGATGAGTGATTTGCTTCTACATCAGGATTATACTTCTTTTTTGGTGACTGGCTACTTCTGTAAAGGAAAACGTTAATGATGAAGTTGGGTTAATTTTTCTTAGAAGAACTTCTAGAGGGCTAACTGGTAGATGATATTGTAATCACTGTGATTTTGGTCCAACTTGGATTGTTCTTGTGTTGGGATCATCCTACCCAGACCTCTGCTAGGATTCCAGGTCCATGAGCATGGTCACTTAGTGAGAAATGCCATGTAACAATAGCTATTTGTTACTTGGCTGTAAAGAAGACCAATAATTTAGGGGATAGTATGCAAACCAAGTTGGAAAAGTGCCAAAGATGAAAAAATGTCTAGACTGTCATCATCATGAGGATGAAGTGTTTGGGTGGAGGAAATTTTAAAGGTCACTGAGACAAAACAACTATTAATATTTTTCTCTCCTGTGTCCCACCTGGTGGATGTCTAGTCTGTGACTTGGAAGCAGTTTTCAAGAGCTGTGTATTTGAGCCAACCCTGTTCCTGACATGATTTCTGAACTTATGCTATAAATTATGCCAGAAGGTCTCATGATGGCTAGTCTGCATCTTCCTTTTGGGAGGGGGAAAAAAAAAACAAAAGAATTCTGCCAGATACCATAAGAAATGAGATTACCACTGAGCAGTCCCTGTCCAACTTGTAGTGTAAGGAGGGATAAGACATGTAGAAGGACAAATGACACGAAAGGAATTAAAACAGTAAGCAGAAAGGATGGCCCCAGACAGTGCAGTGTGGTATAGGTAGCAACACTGACTGCCACAGGAAGAGATCCATGGGGTTGGGGTGGTCCTAGAAGGCTTCATGGATGAGCAGGTTTAGGTCTTGCCCTCAAAAGGTTGAATGAGGTTCAGCAAGGTAAAGATGGAGGAGGCAGGTATATATAGTTTTTACTGCAGCATAAAAGTTAGATAAAAGATATATGCGGAAAACAGATTCAGAAATGATGTTGTTACCTTCTTCGTGTTAAGTGTATAACCTTTTAACCCTCTTTCCAGATGCAGCAGCCCCAGCCTCAGCAGCCTCCCCAACCCCAGCAGTCCTCGCAGCCCCAGAGTCAGACCCTTGGTCTCCAAGCAATGCAGTCCCAGCAGCCCTTGGTAAGACATGTAGGTTTCTTCTTTAAAAGCAGGTTGCATTCTTCATGTTCACAAGTTTGTTAAGAATCGACATAGCCTAAATATGCCCTAGCAATTTTTTCCTAGAACTTTACCAGGATTCTGTTGTCACTGTAGTTGGTATATTTCTTTTCATATGAAGATACAAGTTAATATTTGGGATTCAGTAGGTTACACCATTCTTCTTCTTCAAAATTTTTTGGACTATTGCACAGACAAAAATTTTTACATTATCTTTTTTTCCTAAACAATGTTAAAATGATGATTTATTATGTATGTTTAAAAGATTATCTTACTGTACTTTGACTTTTGCTGTAATCTTAAAAACCATGGGTGTGCCTTCTGAAATATTATCTGTTGTCTTCAATAAGAAATTGTTTTTCAGTCGGCACTTGCTGCAAGAATTTTCCTGTAACTCACAGTCATATAGTTCATTTCTCTAGCTTCATAGATCAAATTTGGAAATGTCATATGCAGAACCATCAGAATCTTTTAAATCTCAGTCATTTACAACAGCATTTACTTTTGCAGTGCCATATTCCTGTTTTATTAGTTACTTTTTTAAATTATCATCTTACTGTATTTGCTTAAATAAATGTATTTTTCGAAGAAGCATTTTACCACTACCATCTGTAATTATATCACTTGCCATATATTGGAAATATTGTGAAAGTAAATGCAAAGAGAATTTAGAAGGGAATCTCCATTTAAGTGAGCGATGTGAATTGCGTGAATGGGCCCAACTATGACGAGCTGGCTTACCACACGTGTCTCACACTTGGGGAAACACTTGTGTAGACTGCCTTCAGCACCCGATTTTTAAACTGGATGGTTTCACAACTTGTAGTAAAGGGGGAACAATATGGTATAGTGATAGTACATTAGGAGGGATCAGAGTAGAGTTAGGTGGTTAAAGAACTGTGTCCAGACCAGGCGTGGTGGTCATGCCTGTAATTCTGACACTTTAGGAGTCTGAGGAGGGCAGATCACCTGAGATCAGGAGTTCAAGACCAGCCTGACCAACATGGAGAAACCCCGTTTCTAATAAAACGACAAAATTAGCTGGGTGTGGTGGCGGGTGCCTGTAATCCCAGCTACTTGGGAGGCTGAGGCAGGAGAATTGCTTGAACCCAGGAGGCAGAGGTTGCAGTGAGCCAAGATCACGCCATTGCACTCCAGCCTGGGCAACAAGAGCAAAATTCCATCTCAAAAAGAAAAAAACTGTGTCTAAATCGGATTGACCAGAACATGTTCAACTGGAGTAGGGCATCCATAGTACATTTAACAAACCTCTGCCCTTTCCATGATGGAAGAGGTCCAATATAATCATCCTGCCACCAAGTAGCTGGCTGATCACCCTGAGGAATGGTGCCATGTCATGGGCTCAGTGTTGTTCTCTGCTGCTGGCAAATTGGGTACTCACTGCTGCCAGGTCAGCCTTTGTGAGCGGAAGTCCATGTTGCTGAGCCCATGCATAACCTCCATCCCTGCCACCATGGCCCCATTGGGTGATGACAGGGGTGGCTAGGGAAAGAGGCCGAGTGGTATCCATGGAATGGGTTATCCTATCCACTCGATTATTAAATCCTCCTCTGTTGAGATCACCTGTTGGTGAGTACTCACATGGGATACAAATATCTTCACACTTTTTGACCACTCAGAGAGGTCCATCCACATACCTCTTCCCCAAATTTCTTTGTTACCAATTTTCCAATCATGCTGCTGCTTGTGCTTTACTGTGTTTTGTATGTTTGTTTCTGGAGACAGAGTCTTGCTCTCTTGCCCAGGCTGGAGTGTAGTGGTGCAATCTTGGCTCACTGCAACCTCCACCTCCTGGGTTCAAGCAGTTCTTGTGCCTCAGCCTCTCAAGAATTCGGGATTACAAGCACACACCACCACACTTGGCTAAGTTTTGTATTTTTAGTAGAGACAGGGTTTCACCATGTTGGCTAGGTTGGTCCTAAATTCCTGACCTCAAGTGATCCACCTGCCTGGGCCTCCCTCACTGCTGGGATTATAGACATGAGCCACCATGCCTGGCCAGAAAAATTTTATATTTCTTATTTATATTCTGGTTTTTTAATAGTTCCACTAAGATGCATTATATGTATTATAATTATGTTTATATTTTATAAACATCTCCAGCAGATTCAATTCTTGGTACTAGCCAAAGCTCTCCATTCTTTGCTTCTTTCTTTGCTAGAGAAGAGGGCGGTAAGGTAGCTATTGAAGATAAGTAAACACCTGCCTCTTTTGGGGTTCTGATTCATGCCGTATCAAAGCAGAAGTGGTAATGGTAACACAGTGCCACCCACCTCATGACTTGTCCTACTGCTATCTGGTGACATTCACAGTTGAAGTCAATAAATGCTTTCTTCTTAGATTAGTGTGAAAGCCATTTCCATCATGGTATGTGTGGTAGAGACCAGCACCCTGCCAGATGTTATAGAGCATGCCAGTGAAACATCACTTCCTGCCACTAGAGGACTTGAAACAGGCGTCCCCAAACTACGGCCCGGCCCGCAGGCTGCATGCGGCCCCCTGAGGCCATTTATCTGGCCCCCTGCTGCACTTCAGGAAGGGGCACCTCTTTCATTGGTGGTCAGTGAGAGGAGCACAGTATGTGGCGGCCCTCCAAGGGTCAGAGGGACAGTGAACTGGCCCCCTGTGTAAAAAGTTTGGGGATGCCTGACTTAGAATCTTAGGAAATGGTGCAATAGCAGCACTGCCTGTGGAAAGTAGTGCGTGGTTCCTGAATTTTTGAAAGAAGTGCTCGAGGCATTGTATTCATGTGCTAGAACGTCCCAACAAAGTACACAAACTAGATGTCTTCAACGACAGAAGCTGTCTGTTTTGGAGGCCAGAAGCCCAGTATTAAGGTGTCGGCAGGGTTGGTTTCCTCTGAGGGCTGTGAGGGAGAATCTGCTTCATGCCTCTCCTCCGGCGTCTGGTGGCTTGCTGGGACTCTGGCATTCCTCTGCCCATAAAAATAGCACCATGAGCTTTGCCTTCACCTTCACAGGCATTCCCCCTGTGCGTATACACATGTCCAAATTTCTACTTTTTATAAGGATCCCAGTCCTATTGGATTAGGTTCCACCCTAATTACCTAATTTCAACTTGATTGCTACTGTAAAGACCCTGTTTCTAAATAAGGTCACATTTTGAGGTACTGGGTGTTAAGACTCCAACATGTCTTTTTTAGAGGACATAATTCAACCTAAATAATAACAGGTGAGAAGGTGAGAGAAGTTTGGGAAGCCTAGACAGAGGAGGTTGAATGTGGCAGACATTAAAGGCAGTAGAATTTGATTATTTGCTTTTTGACTATCTTGTTCATCTCTTTGCTTGCTGACGGCGTCAGCTGAGATCTGTGGGATGATGATCATCTGTTGGTTTGGGCTGTAAGAAATGATTTTAAAAACTTGAAAAAGTTAACTTGTAAAAGGTGACTTAGGACAGAAATTGGTGCTTCTTTAAAATGTATCAACAGAAAGCAGAGTTTTTCCATGAAAAGAGCAAGACAGACTGAAAAGCCTATGCTTACAAATTAAATCTGGTCCCGGCTTAATATCGATGCCTGTGTTGTCATTTGCCTACTTAAGTTGCTTGTCTTCTGGGAAGGAAAAACATATGGAAATAAAGACATGGGTGCGCTTGCTAGGAAAATATATTTGGCATGTCTAGTTTTGGCCTAAATTATATTTCTTGACTAGAAAAATATTTTTAATGCTTATGTGTTATGATTAAATTAAACTCTTAGCTAAATACATTGACAGACCATGGTCTTTTCTTTAAAGCTACTTCCACTGTTAAGAAAATAATGTTGATGCCTCCTTACTGCATCATTTCATCTTAAACAAACTCAGGTTGTCACAGTTTGTTGACTTAAAAAATATGCTAACAGAAAGATTTAAAAAGTTGACTTTTTACATCAATGGAGCCTTGTGTCAATTTCATATTATATTGAATATTTGCCTTTTAAAAATATGCATAATGGTAGCCGTCGTTACTTAAACAATTATATTAAATTTTAGTCAGTAATCACTATGAAATTGTCCTCTAGTCTTCCTCGAGAAATTTATTTGTTCATTTCAGAGAAATTGAGAAATTTTTTCAGACTGCCTCTGGAATTGGTAAGTAGCATGTACAGATAATACTACTACTCTCCTTTTGAAGTGAGAGAAATTAGGTCCAGAGAACATTGAAGAATTGCCTTCCTTTGCATGAATTTGGAATTTTTTTTTTCTTTTGGAAAGAAAAGGAGAAGTAATATTTATAGAAGGAGGTTGTGGAAGAAATATCAGGAGATTTCTGGTAACTGGATAGCCAATATATTTGATATAGTACTTTTTTCCTCACTAAACTGTGTATAGATTTAAAAAGATAACTCTATGCAAGTTACTAGTTACCTTGAAAATAAACACACAACAAATTCTGAAACACATCAGCTGCTAGTCCTGTGTGAGAGTGTGGACTGAGAGTGTGCCACCCTGTGTGAGTGGAGATGTGGCTGAGTGCAGGTACAGGTTTTTCCCAGGTGCTCCGTGGAGGCCCCTATACATTGTTGTTCCTTCCACTGCTGCTTGTACAGATGGAGGCCCGTGCTTCATTCATCGGAGGAATCTGTCTGTGGACTCTGTCAGTTGGTAGTGCAGTTTTAAAATAAATGCTGCTTTGCTGCTTTGTTCTTTTGCTAACAAATGGAGTGGTCACAGCAAAAACCTCATAACTGTCATGAGGGCAGGGATGTATTTTACTCACTCTGGTGCCCTTGGAACCCAGAAAATTGCCTGGGTTTTGATAAATATTTGTTGAATGACTCATTTGTTGGATGTCAAAGCAATGAAAAAAACCTTTGTTAAAATCACACATTGTCCATCAGAAAGGGAAAACATCAAGAGGCAAGGTGTCCAAATGTCTGAGCATTGGTAGGTCTGTCACTGAATCAGTCCTGCACCTGATTTTGTCAGTGTATGGTT